ATACTATCTCCAAATTATAATTTAGTAAATTAATAAGGTGAGGAGAGAAGCCACGCACTAGGTTTAAATTTCATAGGACCACCGACCCTCCCCCGAACGCGGCTGCCCCACAACCCCTTCTCGGTATGATCTAATAATAAAACAAACACCGCGTTATCGAAATCGCACAAATCGACGAGCGAAACACACACGGGTTTTCCGAATTTTCCCTGCCAAACCGATGGGCGAGTGAAATGGTAAGAAAAATTACGATAAAAATGAGACTTTTCTCGGATACGACACCCAGGCCCAGCTCACGGCGGTTTCTATTATTGTTATATTATTGGTGGTTCGCACACTATAATAAAACGTTTTCGGATGTAGTGTATTATTATTATTATAATTATAATTATTATTATTTTGTATTTATTAAGTGTACCGCCACGGCCGCCGACGTATAAACGGGTGTAGATTATAATATTATTATAAATACCCAAAAAATATTAAGTTCCAAATTAATTTTATCAAAAAAATATTTATATTCTTAAAAATTCTAAATAAAAAACAACTCCACTTATACAAATGTTTTTACCATCCAAATCGTTCTTATAATCAGATACAAAAATTGGCTATTTTGAATTTTTTCAAAAAAATTTAATTCAGATTTTTTATTTTTATTTTCAGAATAAATTAATAAATAAAAAATTTTTTTTTATTACAAGTGCTGCGCAAGTGGTTATAAATTATATATATAAAAAAAATAAAAATAATGATTAGAACAAATATTATTTCGGTTAAATTTACGAGTACTTGTACATATTTTATGATTTATAAATCAGACGCGTTATCAATAGATTGTTGTGATTAAACTATAGACGTCCAAGTAAAAATAATGTTATAATTATTATACAAATATAGGTATCTGCCCACTAGCCCACTGGAGGCTGCATTTATACTATCGCCAAATTCTAATTTATTTAATTAATATGGTGAGGAGAGAAGCCACTCACCAGGTTTAAATTTCATAGGACCACCGCCCCTCCCTTGAACGCGGCTGCCCGACAACCCCTTTTCGGAATGATCTAATAATAAAACAAACACCGCTTTACCGAAATCGCACAAATCGACAGGCGAAACACACACGGGTTTTCCGAATTTTCCGGGCCAGACCGATGGGCGAGTGAAATGGTGCGAAAAATTACGATAAAAATGAAAGTTTTCTCGGATACGACACCCAGGCCCGGCTCACGGCGGCTTCTATTATTGTTATATTATTGGTGGTTCGCACACTATAATAAAACGTTTTCGGATGTAGTGTATTATTATTATTTTGTATTTATTAAATGTACCGCCAAGGCCGCCGACGTATAAACGGGTGTAGATAATAATATTATTATAAAAGGTTAACAGAAAGTACTGACCAAAAAAAAAAAAAAAAAATTGATGCTACTTAAACGTATGACAAAAAATGTTGAAATTATATTATGATTAGTAAATAGTCTTAAGAATATATCCAAAAAATTTCCAAATATAATATTTTTAACAAAAATATTAAGTTCCAAATTAATTTAATCAAAAAAATATTGATATTTTTAAAAATTCTAAATAAAAGACAACTCGACTTATATAAATGTTTTTACCATAAAAATCTTTCTTATAATCAGATTAAAAAATTGGCTATTTTGAATTTTTTCAAAAAAAATTTAAGTCAGATTTTTTATTTTCAGAATTAATAAATAAAAAAATTTTTTTTATTACAAGTGCTGCGCAAGTGGTTATAAATTATATATATAAAAAAATTAAAAATAATGATTAAAACAAAAGTTACTCCAAAATGTATTTCTTTCTGTATAGTATTTCGGTTAGATGTACAAGTACTTGTACATATTTTATGATTTATAAATCAGACGCGTTATCAATAGATTGTTGTGATTAAACTATAGACGTCCAAGTAAAAAAATAATTTTATAATTATTATACAAATATAGGTGTCTGCCCACTGGAGGCGGCATTTATATTATCGCCAAATTATAATTTAGTTGATTAATATGGTGAGGAGAGGAGATACGTGCCAGTTTAAAATTTCATAGGACCACCCCCCCATCCCCCCGAACTCGGCTGCCCGACAACACCTTTTCGGAATGATCTAATAACAAAACAAACACCCCGTTATCGAAATCGCACAAATCGACGGGCGAAACACACACGGGTTTTCCAAATTTTCCGGACCAAACCGACGGGCGAGAGTGATTGTGCGAGAAGTTACGATAAAAACGAAACGTTTCTCGGCTACGACCCCCCAGGCCCGGTCATGGCTGCTTCTATCATTATCATTATATTATTACACTATAATAAAACGATTTTGGATACGCATGTGTTACACAAATGATTGTAGATAATAATATTATTATTATATAGTATTTTGGTTAGATATCTTACGAGTACCTACCTACTTATAAAATTCTTATGATTTCAGACGCGTCAATGTCATCAATAGATTATTGTGATCAAACTACAGACGTCAAAGTGAAAAATAATGTTATAATTATTATTATACAGGTATACCTGCATTCTGGATGCTGCATTTCTATTATTTCCAAAATATAATTTAGGTACGCTCTGTTAATTAATTCTACGAATATTATATATTGTTATTATTTTCTTCGAAAAATTAAAATTTCTATTTTGCAGTCATAAGTTATGTATTACTTCGTGCACAATATTAATTAAGTGGACCACTTTTTGAATTTATGACTCATTTATTCAGTACCACTGAAGTAAGTAATTAAACTATAGACGTTATTATTAACGGTTATCATAATATTATTGTCAGCGGAAAAGCTTTTTGACAAAAACAATAATATTGAAGTATTTGAACGTGAAAATTTGTTCGTGAAGTATTTTTCTTAGTACCTTACCTCCCACTACCCTCCCCCCCACTGTTAATGTTGTCTTTCATACAATTTTGTTGAAACTCCGTGTAACCAACGGTCGAAAGGTTTTATAAAAACTTTCTTTGTATATTGTCACAATATTATATAATGGTATAACACAAATGCGACTAGCGATTATAACCCAAAAAACATAATATTATACATAATAATGTGTAGGTACGCATTGTGCCGATTTTTCGTTTCGCTGTTTTTTTCTGTAAACTTTTATTCAAATAGATACAAAGGTACCTTTACATAATATTATAAACACAAAAATGGTTAGTCCTGATAATACATTCGAATTTATGTGAGATTTATATGTTTAGATTTTGTGAGGAACATAAAATAACATAACTGTTGTACAATACGAACTGTTGGAAAATGTAATTAAAATGATTTTTGTCACGACCTAACCCTTTTATTAAGAAGTTTCTAAGAAGTGCCTTCATAAATTCAAATAGTAAAAAATGTTTTGAAACTTTCTAGACACGCTCTATGTAAAATATTTAAATTGAAAGAAAATATAGTTTATTAACAATAACATATTATTACAATAATATTATGTAGATTGGAAGTATTTACCGCTAAGCAATTTTTTTAGATTCTGAGTGGTACGATGAATGTACGTATTGATTTTACAATGATGTGTTTTTTTTTTTTTAATATTTATTTATTTTTGTGTCTGTCATCACGGTTTGGGGCAGTGAAACTGCTTCGATTTTCTTCAACAGTATCTTGTTCGATGGGAAAGTGAATCTAATTGTTGCATTCAGGAGGTAACATTTTAAAATTCCCAATAGTTTTCACGAGCGCCGGGAAAAACAACATAAAAATTAAGGAAAAACGGGAATTTTAACTCAAAATCGTTTTTTCAAAAAATCAATTTTGGTTTTTGGTGTAACTCTAAAACAAATGAACGAATATACATGAAATTTTCACTGGTTGTTTATATTTGCATTTTCTATACACGATTAAATTTTAAAAATATTATGATTTGTTTTGAACTGTTTAGGAACATTTTCATTTTCCATTTGTTTTTAGTTTTTTTTTCTAAAAATATCAATAACATTTTATTTGTTGGTTAAAAAAGGTTGAAAATGTAATCGAAGGCTCCTAGTATATTGTTTCAAAGGCAGATGAAAAATATTAATAATCCTTAGTCACAATTTTTTTTTATAAGCATTTAAAGTTCAAAAATTGACAAAATATGGAAGAATCACAAAAATGAGCAAAATTATTTTGTGTTAAGAATTCGTAAAAATTTTTCTTTTTAAATCTAAGATTTTAAAATGTAATACAAGATTCCTTAGTATCAGGGTTTGTTGTTGATGTATAACTCGTTATAAGTAAATAATGGATATTCTGATATGATTAATTTGGAATATATTATAGGTTCCTTTTATATAGGTAAATTTTGTTTATTACCATTATAAATAAGTATTACCGTCTCCGCTCAGAATCGTTTTTCTTATACAATGATATTATATCATTGAATTCAAATTTAATACCATCCACTATACAGTGACCCACTTGTAACCTACCGTACAGCAGAGCACCTTTTATTAAATTCATTTATTAAAAGCATTATAAATTTAGAACAAATACACGTTATTAATTGTATCGTTATTTTTAAACTATTCATGTAATAAAAATTATTATGGAGAGTAAAAAAAATAACAATTGTTGTAATCCGAACTAACAAAAAAAAAAAACGTTTTTCTCAGGTACCTAGAATTCTTTGAAATACGCGTTGGTGTTATAATTAATTTAAATAAATGTATAATATGCTTTAATAATCTCTTCTCTAAGTATTGCAATGGATAAAATGTTGGTTAATAAAACCATTTAAATCCCGAAGTATGGGAATGAGATAAATCATTTCAGGAATACGGTTTTTCCAGAAATAATCATTTCCAGAAAACATTGATCCCTAATATTTTCAAGGTTCATTTCTATATTTCTATATGCATTGAAATTTGTTTCATCAGCCTTTACTCGGTAGTTTAACTAAAAAGGCTGAGCAAACAAAATATTTAAATACGATAAATACGTGAAAAACAACTCACTTTGTGCGCCCCTAGATTTTCGATGGTGCACGATAAGGTGGCTCTCCGGCCAACCGTGGCTGTTACGTTTTGTAACGTGCCGTTGAATCTGGGATCCATTTTCGTCGAATCCGTCTTCGGGATCGGTAAGTTTGAACCTGTAACAACATTTGCCAATTGGAGATTAGCGTCGGGAAGACATTATTATTATAAGCGTGGAGGATTATGCACGGGGAAAAAAAAAGAAAAAGGAAGAGACGAGAACAAAGTGAGAGTCATTTCACGACGACAACGCAACGAGGTGTATAGTCATAGCCGTCTGTATACAAGAGGTGCTTACACCGTTTTGGGTGACTATAACGCGAGTGCCCAAAGTCCTTCTCAGGCATCGAGCCAGTTCAATTAACGAAATTACATTTCCCTAAACAACAAATAACAATAAACGTTTGCATGGGTTTTCCACTTTCGTTTCCTTTTCTTCTCCGTTCCGATGCTTTTAATGAAACTGCCGGTTTATTATTCCGTACGTGGCATGAGCCGTCCCACGGCCGTTAGCTCACCGTTTGTTAATTAAACAATTACAAGTTCTCAAACATGTTTCTTTTATTATTACTATTATTTTTCGCAATAAACTCGTTGTTCGTGTAATTTAAACAAATCGTCCAAGGCGATTACTTCGAAGAATATTAAGGCGCGCTGAAAGCTGCATCCATGTGCTTCACTCGAATATCGATCGTCGGGCCGACCGACTTGGCTTAAGATTTTTAAGACCGGCCGTCAGCGCTTCTCGTACGTTGACGAAAGGGAGGCGATGACAACCCATCGCAATTTTTCTATAGAGACCGACACTCTGAGGCTGTTCGGTCAGAGTTCGCGAATTACACACTACAGTTTAATATTATTACACGCGATTTTATGGACGTATAATTATTATTTATCGCCCTGCGAGAGAAACGAGTCTTATCGGCTCAGACTGCGAATAATTCCGCAGTCAGACTGAACCACGGTATGGAAGCAATATTTTCCGCCTTAAGTTCGCCGATCGAGATAATACGGTAATTCGATTTCTTAACTGGGGAATGGGAAACGCGTTGACAACGACTAAAAACGAATACCTATACCCAGTGAAAGTCGTTCATCTAAAAGCGGTATAATATTGTATGCTCGCGACGAGTCCCATAATAGAAGAACGAACTCGACAGAAACTCTGCAACGTCGGTATAATAAACCGCCTCCGTTGATTACAAAGACCAATTATAATCAACGGTAAGAATTTTTTTTCCTCTCCGGTTTGCCCATCCCTCCACGCACACGCACCCGCCAGTCATCATCACTCGCCGTTTTAATGGTTTTTGCGAGCCGTAATTTAAACGGATGTACGCGGTAAGTTATATTATATGATTAGAAAAACTTCAAATCCACGTGATTTGTAGTCGAGAACACGTACCTGCAGACTACCTGCCTACGGAGCCCACCGACCTCTGGGTACTATTATTTCTTCGGTCTCTCGTTCTAGAAACTAAACCTACCTATCTACTGTAATTTCCTACAACAGCGCATCTCCGGCGGGTAGTCGGTAATTATATTTAGTTAATTTAATTCCTGGATTCCCGGCCAAGCACACTCGACGACCGTATTTAACTCGATAATGACGTGTATAATAGGCAGTGCTTGTTCGACTATGCTCTGATTGTGATGCGAGTCTGCAGGTAATAATTATAAACTCATACGTATACTATATAATTATTGCTTCATCGTCTCACGTTTTTGAAGAGCAACCGTAGAAAATAAAACGTCTTAATTTTTTTCCCGCATTCCCATCTCATCGCGGAAACACCGCGGTTTACTTTGGGCTTATTGCATTTTAATTTTGTCCCTAGATACTTGTAGAAACTAATACAATACTATGTTATGAAGCAATAGGTACATTTTCATCATCCATTGTAGGAATGGTGCAAATACAAGTTAAAAGAGAAAAATTTGTATTACTTTAAAGTTAAAAGTCTATAGGACTAGACTACTAGAGCATTGTCGATGAAATGCTTAAGCAGTTTCGGCAGCCTCTTCGAGCAAAGTAATAAAGCAAAGACAGATAAACAATGGGTCATTATAAATAATTATTAATAGTTGGCATTTATTTTTTTAGTTCATCATTTAAAAATTAAAATGTTTTTTTTTTTTTTAGATCGTACTTGAAATATAAAACAATAGCATAATATTCTAATTAATAATATCATCTACTTTCATCAAACTACTTGATATAATATAATAGATCAGATAAAGATATTCTCAAAATGTTGCCATGTAATTTTGAGTTTAAAACGTAAAATTAGTATATTTAGTATAAAAATTAAAATGGGCCATATACAAATCGTAGGTAGGCCGCCTGCAGTTTCATATCCTTGCTGTAGTTATAGCTATTAAATATAAATAAAATATAGAGTAGTATAATAACCGCTGTAAATAAACTTTGGTAGAGATTAAATTGAATTATTGATTTTGTACAATGTACATGCCTGTATGACTTGGAATTTCATAAGATTTGAATGTTGTTATTCTTAAATAATTTTTCACTTGTGTATTTTTGTTAATTATAAACTATAATCACTGTTTGAATATTGTGGTGTACATGATTAATTAAATTAATATTAAATTGAATCGAGTTCATATTACAAAATAGCTTTGTAGAATGAGCTGGTTTTATTCATCCATTTCTAAAAATCATTAAATTTGTAAGATAAAATTAATTGCATTTTATAATGGAATCCTTAGACACGACTCTTAGTGCGGACAAAATGTTGACGTTTACATAACATTATCTTGATTAATATAAAATAGGAATTAATTTGTGTATATATAGCAAGCCTTATGTCACTTATATATAAAAAAAACTTATTTTGTAATATGCTTTCAGATTCGCACACACAGAGTACAGAAATTTCCTTTTTATACTCGTCTATCGAAGCTTATAAAAGAAGAAAAACATATTTAATCACTATAACTATTGTTTCGAGAAAGTCCGGTCTTGAAATAAAACTGATTTCAGCTATAATCTGATGAAGTAATTTGGCCATATTGGATTCGTTGTCCGTGGGTTCATATTAGTATTTCATTTCAAATACACGCGGGTCACTGCTTTTGTTTTCTTCTACTCTGATTAATTGAAAAATATGTTATACGAACAAACGGTTTTGTTGATTTAATAACTGGACGATATTATTCAAAAAAATGGTACCCACTCAATAAAAATACATCGCACACACATTGGGCAACGAAAAAACCTTGCAAACAGTCAGTTACAAAACGATCATCGGCCGAGGAACGTCAGCCGAAGGTTTATGCAAAACAGAGGATAAAATATTTAATAATTCGGTAAATATATCGTAGTGGTATAAGAAACGCGTATCAATATTAAATTCGCGTAATATATTATTATGCGATTTAGTTTAATGGGAGTTTAATAGAAACGCAACTTGGTCGATCTATCGAATCGGGTATAGAGCGAAAAGGACGAAAAAACTCGTTATGCGATCGCAAGATCTCGGATAAGGCAAAGTATTTCGCAGGGCAACAAGTGTGCAGGTCGTAATAATCGCGGACGGAAACCCTCAAGGTTTACTCTGCGGGGTCGAAACGGAGGAGATACGCACGTGAACAGAAATCGTCGGTGTGTGAAACCGCGGTATAAAGTGGTATGAGCCCGATAATAAAATATTATACCATTACCAACGTTACCCGTTACAATGGACCGCTACGTTTTTTTTTTTATGTGCTTTCACTCTCTCCGTTTCCGCGTGGACATTTCTTGGGAGGTTTTTTCGGGGTTGAACGGTCGTCCGGAAAAATGTTAATCGGTTTTCCGCAGGGGGAGCTTCACATTCGGGTCACGATGTCCACACACACACACACACACGAGTCCGGTCCATTTCGAACATATTTTGCCGTGGCAGTGACATTCTCGCGGAAATTTGCAAAGCGAAAACGTGAGATGAAGAAAATAAAATAATAATAAATATTAGCACGTGCGCACCGAGCGAAACTCGAGTGAAGATTGTTTACGATGACGGCGGCGACTTAATACATTTTTTGCACTTAAAATACATAATAGTCGGTACCTATTGTAGTGATTATTATTTTTTAAGACGTGCAGCAGTCGTCATCGGAGCGTCGTCGTCTTCACACGAGCGCATTACATTCGATTAAAATAAAAGTTTACGACCGCGATTCTTCGTTAAACCGAATCCCATCGGATTTATCGTATTTTTCGTTATTATTATTATTATTTCTTTTTTTGTTTCGACCTAGAGAACGAACCGAACGGAAGTAAATGTATACACGCGCCGCCGGAGTGCGTATTCAAATTGATTTGTTTTTTTTATTCACTGATTTTCGACAAGACGAATAATATAGGTAGGTACTTTTTCCGTGGCACTTATACGAAATCGATAAACTTATTATATTCAAAGCCGTACGTGCGGACATTTAAAATCTATTGTAAAAATACAAAACTTAATGTAACCGTAGTGTATTCCTCGCAGAAAACCTTTGTGGTACGTGACAGGCTGGACTCGTGTACGATTCCAATATAATATCCTCTCGAAGGAAAAAATCGAGTTAAAATCGTAAAAATATTTAATCTGTACTGCGGCACCCGTAGGCCATCATCTCTTCCCTAGCACCGAATTTTTTATGTACAACGTCCGCACAATCTGGCAGATATAATATATCGTAAGACACTCGTCACAGATTAGTTTTAATAACGTTAGTTAATGTTTAAAACTTCTGTTTTCATTTAGACATCATGCAATATCAAGTATAATATATGGCAATGTTAATAATCTATTGTTTATAATTATTTTATTATTTATAATATTTAATGTGTGGCACTTATAATGGCCTCAAATACAAGCTGCAAAGCTCAAAGTGGGTAGGTCAATCAAAAATCTAATTTATAATATTGTATATTTGCGTGTTGATTTTCTGAATATAAAAAATAAAATAAAAAATAATAGGTCTTGTGGAAACCTGGCGTGGTGTGCGCGCCGCCGTTAGGGTGTACTTTCCCGAAAAATTGCTCGAAAACCTCGAAAGTTCGAGAAACGCATCGAGAAACGCAAACTAATTTTTATTGTAAATTAATAGTCATATTAAAATTTAGTAATACGTTCTTATATACAGTCTCAAACGCTCTCGGACGGACACCTCTAAATAGAGGACGTTTTCACGGGACCCAACTACAGACCCTCTATACGATCTGATGTATAGCGTACACCACTCCGAATAGCGGACAGACTTTTGGCGGACTTGATTGTCCGGTATTCGGAGGTTCCACCGTACAAATCATTACGGGTGACAGATGAACGCAATGGTTTTCTGTCGACCAGAGCTATACAGACACCGACGTGT